ACGATGATGCCAACACCGTTTATCGTTCTATTTGTGCCCGAATACCATAGTTTAAACCCTGAGTTTTCTAGATCCTTTGCCTTACGACCAACCCACTTAGTTTCTTGTAGGCACATAATATTTATCCTTCTGCTCACCATAACTTCCACTACTTCTATAGATTTTCCCGTCAATGTTCCTATATTCCACGTTCCTAAACGCATTTTGCTCTCTTGAACTCTACCCTTCTGTCCTAGCTTCTTCACTCTCCCCCGTCTAATAGGATCAAAGTACTTCTTTTGTGTGTCCCGTGTAAAGTTGATAGGAGCATATGCTCCCGAACAACTTTGAGTGGAGTCGTTCGAAAAGAAGTTTCTATGGACCCCTTGCTCATTTAACACTACATCCGGGTGCCGATGGAGATACAGCGACCCTTACTCACTTATCACTGTGCTCGGGCCACACAGCGCACCACTTACGGGTGACGCCCTAGCTTTAGCGCGATTTCGTTATGGATTCATTTTCATAAGGATTCGACGTGATCATGGAGTGCCGGCTGTCGACTACCTGACGCTCTCCCCCTCCTCCTTTATCCGGGCTTGGGACCGGCAATGTAAGATAAACTTACATAGGCGGAGTTGTTGAATCTATTCTGATGATTGGATTTAATTGTTTCGATTCGTATTTTTTTCATTTTTCTGAATATTTTTTTATTTTCTTTTTTGAAGAACTGATTGGATTAATTTCATATATAATTTGGATTTCTATGATTTCAGAGATTTGAGGTTGTGATTTCGAGTACTAGAGCTTTGATTTCAGAGGTTTGAGACTGCGATTTTGATTATTGGACGCTACGATTTCATAGTTTTGAGGCTGCGATTTCTGGTTGTTAGCGTCACAAATCTTCTATCTCTAAGTTTCACATCGTATAGAACCCTAGAAACTGTTGCAGCGTAAGGATTTTGCTGATGAAGATCAAAGGGATTGGAGTGCATCATAGTGCAGCTCGGATTCAAGTGCAGGAGTTCTTCTAAGTTTGAAGTTTTAAAGCTTATATGCTATTTGTAATAGACGGCTAGGATTATAACATCTAAACGATGGATGTGTGCCACCTGTCCTAGATTGTTAGTGTTTATTTTATTTTATTTTATTTTTTTTAAGTATATCGATATTTTTCACTAAGAATAGAGAGAGTTCGGATAAGCCACACAATGGGCAACCTAATTTGGTATCGAATTCGCATTCAAACCTAAAACTTCTCACTTTCTAGTAAAAATGAATATCACTCGGACATACTAAGTGACTGTTAGTGTTTTAAGTTGTCACTTCTGGAGCATGTGAGCTTCTTCACACAAGCTAAGCATGTGAGCTCCGACTGTTATTTCCTTGTCTTATTCGGATCACCACAACATATGTATGTGTGTGAATCCCATTTGCTCGTAATTGAATCCAAGAGAGAATACAAGAGAGCAACGCACTCTCCAGGCCTTCATCACCATTGCTGGTTTGAGTGTTCTTCCTTTCTCCAGAAAATCATTTCATAAATTCATAAAATCCTACTAAAACAATAGAAACTCACAAATTGCCTCGTTTCAATTCGTTTTATTCAATTTCTCCTTGCCGATGAAGAACTCATGTTGCAGTTACCCTAACGAATTTAATTTGATTTGATTTACTGTTAATTTTTTTATGAGCATTTACTTCTGGTTATCCAATTAACAAATAGATGTAAATTTTGATTTGATGTTGATTAATAACATTTAGTATGATTTTAGCTCAAGAGGAGATAACAATGTAGACAACATGGCCTCTTGAATCAACTTCATTGATCTCTACCCTCATAATCTCACAGGTCTCTATTCCTATATATTACTTCCTTGCAGATTCTTTCATTCCCACATCTGAAAAGGGCCCGGATTGAACTGAAAAGGTACACATCATATTTAAACTACCATTATTTTGGATGCTCGACTGTATTAATTTTTGTTCTCATTTATTGACAGACTGCTGAGGAGGCAATGACTCCTATTGAATCAACATTTTCCTTCCATCTTTGTTTCTTTTAATTAATTAGAATTTGGTTTTATTAGTCAAGGGCTGTGGCTTACTCACTCACAGTCACAGGTATCTTTAGGATACAAATGTGGTTTCTGGTTTTCTAATAACTAGCCACCTACAGATATGAAATCTTTGTTTCTGCAGATTGAAAACGAATATTATATTGCTTAGTTAGAACAGCAAACGTTGTAGAGAAGAAATAATAATTAATTGCCATTTTACCAGAGATCACATTCAAAGATTCAACAATTCATCACCAAATTGGGACGATGGAAAGGTGTGGATTTGGAGATAATGTTGAACTATCGAATCTGAAAGTAATAACTCACTGGTGCACTCAGAAGAGATTTTGATTGGTCAGTTTATGATATGTTTGATGCAAGTTTTAATAGTTTTTCTGATTCAACTTGTCGGGATTAAGTGATGTTAGTTATGGTACTATTGCTGGCATTTGAGGACCAAATTGGAAGTTCCTTGATGGTTGTTTGGAAGTCCGTTGTTTATGCTTTTTCATAATAATGAACAAACCAGCTTAGCTTGGTGGATTTCTATTGATTTCAGCTTTCATTTGATTTGTAGACGATTTTATCTTGTAGAAACGACTTTTAGTTGATTTGATTAGCTTGATGGTATTTCTGTTTTTTTATTGATGATATTTTTAGATTTTAGGCAAGAAAAGCAAGTGTAAGTGATATAATGGAAGATATTAGTCTTGATTTGAAGTTGTGATTAGTAGACTGTCGTTAAAGTCACTAGCTGGTACTAATAGAGTTTTAGTTATAGAAGGTTGTTATTACTAAGATTTTTTTCGTCATGAAGAGTTGTTGTGACTAAATGCCTATTAATTAGTCATTATAAGGGCTGACACAAATAATTGCAATTTTGTAACTAAAAGGTAGGATTTGGTTTAATTTTCTAGTAACAAAGGAATGTTGTTGTGACTATACATTTTTAGTCAGACAATTTGTTCTTTTTACACAACTCAGTTACATAACTTTTTCATAACTAAATTTTTAAATCGCGACCTTCGTTGTGACCGAAATCCTTCTTTTTGTAGTGACAATAACAGGAATGTCATCCATTTGCTGACTCTTTAAGTTTTTGAGCTTTGTGTAGTTAGGGCGGTCTGTTGAGGACCACTACAAAATCCAGATAAAGACATATAAATTGTGAGAATCTAAAAGCAGAATGTGTAGATATATCCTAGATTTATATGTAACACAATAGGCAAGGGTGTCCTCCCTGACATGATATATCGAGTTAGGGAGGCCATCTTCATTCTCTTTAGATAAAGCGTGCTTTTTAAAACCCAAATCAGTGTTAAACCAACAAGAAGCCACATTATATATGCAAAAGGTTCAAATTAGACAATTTATTGAATTGATTTACTATATGTCTGAAAATGCATACGTTTGACAATAGAACGAGAAGTTTAAGTAGAAAAACGTCTATATCCATATATAAAGATAATGGAAAAGTGAATAGCGATTTTAGTGTCACCATGCTTCAACAAAAATATTTGAACAAAAATGCCCCTAAGATAAAAAGAACTTCAAAAGCATCCTAAAATAATGCATCAAATAAGGCAGGGGCATTTTCATCATTTTAACAGCATTTTTTTAATAATTAATTTTTTTGGGGTTTTTTTTTAATTTTTTTTTAAATTAGTACCTCACAATAGGTTAGCAATAATGTGATTCAATTTCTCTATTTTTAAAAATGTTCAAAACATCTTAAGAGGCATCTAATGCCGATTATAAAAAAGGTCATTCACACGTCGATAATAATGTGATGATTGTTTTTTTAACAATCAATATTATCTACACTAAGGGGAGGGAGGTGGGCTTAGCCTCACAATGAGCTAGCAATAATGTGATTCAATTAGTTGTTTATTAAATATTATTTTCTCTATTTTAAACATGTTCAAAACATTTTAAGAGGCGTGTAATGCCGGTTATAAAAAAAATCTTTCGCATGCGGATAATAATGTGATTAAATTAGTTGTCAAATAATTTTTTTTTTAACAAACGATATTATCTACACTAAGGGAGAGAGAGTGGGTTTAGCCTCATAATGGGCTAGTAATAATGTGATTCAATCAATTGTTTATGAAATATTATTTTCTCTATTTTTAAACACGTTCAAAACATCTGAAGGGGCGTGCAATGCTGGTTATAAAAAGGTCTTTCGCGGATAATAATGTGATTAAATTAGTTGTCAAATGATTTTTCTTTTTAACAAACGATATTATCTACATTAAGGGGGAGGGGATTGGGCTAGCAATAATATGATTCAATCAGTTGTTTATTAAATACTATTTTCTCTATTTTTAAACACGTTCAAAACATCTTCAGAGGCGTGTAATGCCAGTTATAAAAAAAAGTTTTTCGCACATGGATGATAATGTGATTAAATTAGTTGTCAAATGATTGTTTATTTATTTATTTTAACAAACAATATTATCTACATTAAGGGGGATGAGAGTGGACTTAGCCTTACAATGAGCTAGCAATAATGTGGTTCAATCAATTGTTTATTAAATATCATTTTCTCTATTCTTAATGTAAATTTTATAGAGACCGATTTTATTATGTGAATTCAGCTGCTTTAATTGGTTTATGAGGGCTTTCTTCTAGTATGATCTAAGATTATTCATTTACTTCAAATATTTGACTTTCCTTTTGTCAATTTACGCTAAATACATTTAAAACGTGTAAGTCACGCGTAACACGCCGTGATTCAAAAAATACATTCTGCACGCGCGTAAGCTCGTGCTTGAAGGCTAGTATATCAAGAAAACAGAAGGGCATACGCAAGATAGTAGAACAAGTAGTTACCAAATGAGTTCTTGGTTTTCAATTTAAAAAAAAAATGGAACTATAAACTGAAATAGTTATCTAACGGCTCATTAGTTTTAAGGATTAGGAAAGTGGAAATGAACAAACGAATACGTACCCAAGCTCCTAATAAATTAGAAATTGTGGATCATCTGGAGTGGACGGCTGCTCTTGCTCCTCCTCAATATCAATAGGAACATTGAGATCAATCTGCCTGTGTTTCGAATGATCATCCATTGGCGTCGAAGATAAGGAAAACCATTGTTGTTTCGGATCATATGAATCATCAACGATATCTGATAGTCCATGTGGACGAGGCCTCTTCCCAAGACTATTTGTTGGTCCCAAAGACAAGTGAAGATGTTTGTCTTGGTTGCGCAATAGGAAGTGCAACCCACAGCTTTTAATGCGTGCGCCTCTGGGGAAATAAAATATAACTTGACAATTATCTCCTTGCTGTTGCTTCGCCTTCAAATCCACTAACGCAAGCCACACATGGGTTGCCTCGATGTCATTTATGTCATTTACGTCATTTAAGTCATTATGATCCCATAACATAGGTCTACACTGTTGTACTCTGTTGATGAGAATACAAGTATAATGAGGATGATAAGTCGGTGGTTCAAAAACAAAAGATAGAGCCAATCTGAATAACGTCTCGCCCACTTGTAAATTTAGAGGAATTTCAAAACAAAATTCACTGCCACCAACAAATTCCTCTTTCCATTCATATACTGGTAGTTGTTCGATTGTAATGCGCGTGGGATGGTTCATATGCCATTCATGTACCATAAACTGTTCAATCCTAATAGGTGTGGGATGGTTAGAAGTATAACTGAACCACTTTGGAACTTCATTGCCTTGATAAAAAACTTGCAAGTTAGACCACCAAAGACGTTCCTGCAAAGTGAATAATACGTAGATAATTAGCAATAACTGTGATATGATATATCTCTCTCTCAAGCATCAACAAAATATATTCTAAATTTCAAGAGAAATTAAGAGGAGAGAGGAACCTGATTGAAGTTCAACAAATTATTTTTCAACTTTTCCACCTCATCGCCACTCAGTCCAAAGCAGTTACACAAATCCAAAATCCTAAGCATCGGGGGTAGTGGTGGAATTTTCTCCAGAGATGTGCAATCATCCAGATATAACTCAACTAGTTTTGATGGAAGGACTTGTGGAATTTCCCGAAACCTCTTGCAACCGCTTAATGAAAGTGTCTCCAAGTTGACAAATTTACTAATGCAATCCGGAAGACTAACAAAATTGTTTCTCGACAGATCAAGTTCTGCTAATGTGGACCAGCAATTAAAAGGCACAAGAAAATCACTTTCTGATAAATTGCATCCTCTAAAACCAAGATAATGTAACTTAGGAAAGGCTAATGTGATACAGTTGTCATCTGAGTCAGTTGAAAGCAGTTGAGATTCGGTCACGACTTTTGAGCATTCAAGGAAATCAACATTGATGTAATGACGTAATGATATATTTGTAAGGTTCTCGCAACCATTTCCTTTCAATGTTCCAAGCCCAGTAAGATATGCAAATGATGAAGGCAATTTTCTTATGCCACTTTTTTCTATATCCAAATACCATAGGGATTCCATCTTGCCCTCCTCTATTTCTGGGAAAGTCTTAAGTCTTGTGCACTCACAAAGAGATAACACTTGAAGCGATCTCAATCCAAGTCTTGTTGCAAACTTCATAAGCTTAGAGCACCCACGAAGACTCAGATCTTCAAGTTTATCGAGGAATCCAATAGAATCATCAACCTCAACCAAACTTTTACAATTACTTAGATTCAAGTCCCTTAAGTTTGGGCTTCCGGATAAGTCGGGGATTCTTTTCAAGAATTCGCAACCACTTAAATTCATTGATGTAAGCTTTGCCAAATTCTGTAAAACCAAAACAAAAAGTCACATGTTTTAAACACATTAATAATGAAAAACTTTGGAAATTTTATTTTTTTCTAAAAGTAAAATATACTTTTAAATTAGTAATCGTTCAAACTAATTTAAAATACGTACTCATACCTTAAATCCCTTCAATTGTCTGATGCCACTGTATGGCATATAAAACGTGACAAGATTCCTTGGATGATAATTGGATGGCAAATTGAACGTAATGGTATGCTTTTGAAGAATATTGGATCCCAAATAATGAAACATAGGTCCATCCAATTCAATCCACCTCAAATTGTTGGGCAGATAATCAACGTGTCCAGAAAAACGTGCATTACGATTTATAAAAAATTCAAGATTGACCATCCGCAAGAAGCTTTTTGGATTCAAGGGTATCACATCTGGTTCGGGCAACTTCACCACAATGCCTTTAATTTTCCATGTTCCCTGATATGAATAAAAAAATGAAATATTGTTAACAAACCATGTCGTTTAAAAAGCTTTCACTTCAAACCAGATCATGACATATCAAATGTAAGAACATATATTCTACTTACTTGATTTTCAATTAGAACATTGTACACATCTTCATGAAACCACAACCTGCTACGTTTCCCTGGTTCATTGGGCGATTCTTCACGAACTATACGCTTACCCATTTTTTCTAGTAAGTCATGCATCAAAATCCTATTATCTTCAATAGTTATGATGGCATTCTCAACAAGTACTTCAATACAATCTTCAGGTACATTGAGCTTCGAACTTCTTAATACTTGTAACACATAGTCTTTATCTTCACCCTTGAAGAAGCATGCAATGTCTAGGAACACTTGTTGCACGACATAATCCCAGGCATCATAACTTTTTCGAAGTGTTCTTTGAATTCCTCTATAAGGTTCTCCTTCATAAGAGTTGTAACTATCCAATATAGCTTGCCAACGATCTATATTTTTATTACGCAAATAAGAACCTATAAGATTAAGAGCTAATGGAAGGCCTTGAGCATAGGCTATTGCACGTCGTGCGAGGCTCAAATAATCTTGTGAAGGTTCTTTTCTTGTGAAGGCATTCAAACTTAAAAGCTCAAGAGCCTTGTCATTTTCTAACTTTTGGACCTTGTATATCAACTTGACTCCATAAGATTCTAGCAATCCTCTATCTTTTGTGGTTATGATCACTCTGCTACCCTCACCAAACCAATCGACTTCAACCAAGTTGTTTAACTGCTCCAATTCATCCACATCATCAAGAATTAAGAGAATCTTCTTTCGCCTCAACAATTTCTCTATAAGGCTGATTCCGTGATGAACATCGTCAATTTTCAACTCTATACCGCGTAGAACTTTAGATAGAAGAGTGTTTTGTAGTTTGATTACGCCTTCATGTGATGTCGATGTTTCTCTCACATCTGCCAGGAAACAACTACCTTCAAACTTATGAGCAATTGCATTATAAACAGCTTTTGCAATTGTTGTCTTGCCAATTCCAGATGTCCCCCAAATCCCAACCACACAACGACCATTTTCACCGACATCTAAAATCTCTTCCACCTCTTCTGCACAAGATTGTATTCCAACTGGGTATTTGGCCACATTCAAATATGTGCGTTGTAGTACTTCGACTAAGATCTCCTTAACAATCTTATTGATAAATGTAGCTTCATATCTACCAGTTTAAATATAAAAAAAAGACACATTTAGTCAATCAAATTTTTTGCTATATTTCTTTGAAAAGAAAAAAAATGTACAAAAAAAATGACAGAGGATTACACGAAAGAAGAGTGCCAGCAACAACCGCAACAAGACTCACTCCCTAATTCGCTAGCTTTGGTGAATGACCGGTCTATAATTATATATGAAGAAGATGGTCATGTAGGTTTAGCATAAAGTAAGAGTTATCTTCTTCATATATAATTATAGACTTGCCATTCAACAAAGTTGGAATTTGATGGAATGAGTGTTAGCGATGATTCCTAGCACTCCTCTCGTACACAATTGCTGCAGTCAAGCATGTGCCGCTTGCTAGGGATTTAAAAACTAAAAATGAAACTCCCAACTAAATAGGTATTATTGTAGTAGAAACTGAAACCTGAAATATAGAAGGGGAGTGTTAATGGCACTCCAAAAATTTCATTCTACACTCCTTAAAGTGTATTTTTCTTTCCTAATATAGAAAGTTTGGAGTGTGGAATGAGGTTTTTGGAGTGCTAATAACAATTCTCATACAAAATCATATAATTATACAAACTATAAGGAGTGAAGAAAAATGTACATACTCTCCCTCTTTGACAGTATGTCCTGACAAATTTGCAACTTCTTTAAGAGCACTCCTCCATAAGAGGATCTTCTCCTCGTCCTTGTGTTTGCACTCAAGTCCTGTAAATGCGTCACCGAAACTACTCGTTTGATTTCGTACATGAGACGGATCCACCTTATAAAAAACTGGCCAAACTATTTGCTGCCTTGACTTTCTACATTCACGGATATGTACGAGCTCATCCAAGCACCATCTTGAGGATGCATAGTTTTCTGAGAATACAATGACCGAAATTCTCGAGTCTTCAATTGCTTTTAGAAAAGCCGGTGATATTTCTTCCCCTCTTACAAGATGACGATCAATGAAAGTGTTGATTCCGTTACAGACCAAGGCCTGGTATAAATGATCGGTAAAAGTAAAGCGTGTATCCTCACCTCTAAAACTCAAAAAGACATCATATCTCCATGAAGAAGGCAAGAAAGAAGCAGAGACAAGTTGATTGGCCATAGGAGAATTAAAGCCAGATAAACCATAGAAAACGGCCTCTCAAAGAATTGGAATATGCAGTATGGTATGAACAGTGGATTCTCTCTTGTTATATATATATATATATATATATATATCAGGCCTTATGCATGCTTTTCTTCCTGTGAAGGAAGCAGCAGTTTCCTATACCACCTTCAATGTGAACGTGGACTCTCTCTTGTTATATTAGTCCTCATGCTTTTCTTCCTATCTACGAATCAGTATCCTGCCTACTATTTCAAAGTGAATGTGGTCAAGTTGAATGAGAGGAACTTTCGTGACAACTTCATTAACGATTAAAAAATATAAAATTGTTACTTGGCGGTCTTTAATTTGAAGGAGAGGAAATTTTGTTGCAAACTACTACATACTACCTTTGATGTAACAATCCACAGTAATACTATTTTAAAGTAATCATAGACGACTGAAAAATATAAAATTATTACTACTAAAGTGGCAATACCAAGAAATGTATCTTCGGTAGGTAAATTTCTCTCCACTAACTAGTGGTGGTCTTTAATTTAAGAAAGAATTTGTCTTATTTCATTTGTTTTGTTATACTTTGAAACTTCATTTTTCTTTAACCAGCGATCGACTGACTATGGTTTGTATGTATTCAATTATTTGTTGATATTGTAATCACCTGTGGCCTTTCTTCATCAAGAATGAATTGATAACTCCAACTCATTTGCCCACTTTCGAAGGCCACATCTGTGTTTTGTATTTTTTTTTTCTGATGGATTTAATTAATTAATAGCCAGCTAAGCTGAATAAATAGCAACACGTGATTTACCTTTACCTCAAATGTTGTTGGATGACATCTGAGGTTTCAAGCAGACGAGGCCTCTTTCCAAGATTACTAGACGAGGCCTCACATTCTCATCACTACTTCAATCTAAAGTAGGCTTAGTTTTCTAAAAAAAAAAAGGAAGAAGAAGAAGGCTTTGAAATTGTACTGTACAAATGATTAGTCTTTGCACTTGAATTTTACTTTATTTATGAGGCTGCCCCTGACTTTCTCTGCCGCTGATCTTCATGCCACGTGTTGATAATTGTGGAAAGGCAGGGGTGCGATGGTCATTTTAGTTTGTAGGGTTTCGAACAGGTTGGGTGGGTTAGAGCATTTCCAAATGAGATATCAAAAGATAAATGTCAAATGTTAATTTGATGGCTGATCTGGCAATGTTAGATTTTCTCTTTTTCCAACTGATATGTTTCTTTGTTATAAATGGTATTTGTACGACCTATTTTAAAAAGAAATCAATTAAAATACATTTTCAAGATGATGTTAATGGGACTCACACAATAAAATAATTAGGCCAAATCGGATAAATGATCCATGTGGTCATAAGGTATTCGGAAGATAGCCCATGTGCTAAAAAAACTCGGATTTAAACCCCTATGATTTACTCCGTTAGCAAATTTAGTTCAAAAATGATTTTTCCGTTAACTATCTATTAATACATGAGGTAACATTGTACTTTGACATGTGCATCTTCTTCTTCCTCGTCTTAATATAATCGAAGCTACATTTTTCGGGTCTACTCTCCGCCTAGGTAACGATGGCATTTGCAGAGTTTGAGACCGAACCCATGATTAAGAAAACATTTTTCATAATTCATCATACATATAAAGTTAACGAAATAACAAATATTAACATACACAAATGGCAGTGATCATACAAATTACTTATTCATCTAAAAAATTATCAAATGGGCAATCGAACGTAAGAAAGGATTAACTTACGATAGCCTCGGCATCTTTTGAGGTAAGAACAGCAAGAACAGCTCCAGGTATCACCTTCCTCTTGTTAATTCTCAATTGATTAGCCCAAAGCCTGTTATTGAAACTCCCTCTAACCCTCTCCCCCAAAAACCCAGAACCACCATTGCAGAAACCACTTGGTCTTCTCAAATGGATGTTTTTCAAAGCCACACAGCAAGAATCCATTCATGTTGCTTGCCAACTCTAATAGAATTCTAACCGATCAGAAATTGAAAACTCAGATAGCATTTAAACCAAAATCCTAGTAAACCCCAATCCTAGTAAAAATGTCAAAGTACAATTTTACCATGTATTAACAGATAGTTAACGAAAAAATCATTTTTGGACTAAATTTGCTAACAGAGTACACCACAAGGGTTTAAATTCGAGTTTTTTTAGCATATAGGCTATATTCCGAATACCATATGACCACAGAGATCATTTATCTAATTTGGCCAAATAATAAAAAAAAAATTTGACATCACATTCTCATATGTCAAATTTAACATATGAAAACTCATGTTAATCCACGTAAAATTGACATATTGGTTGGAGCTGGATCCTACACACAAATTTGATTACGTGACATTCCATATTGGATATTGGATTTGACGTCTTACGTCTTTCAGGCAGACAGAGTCTGAGACCATGCCGTCGGGACAGAGAGAGCGAGCGAGCAGAGAGAGAAGAGAGACAGGGAGGGAGAGAGATAGGGATTTGGTGAGAGGAAAGCATGCGGCTTGTAGGCAGACAAAGTCACAAGAGGTGTACGATTCGAGGGAAAGGGAGAGGGAGACAGCGCGAAAGAGAGTGGGAGATGGAGGAGTAAGGATCGCTCGCTGAGGGTTTCGCAGTTGAGAGGCCATGCCGATGGAGATAGAGATAGAGATAGGAGAGGGAGAGGGAGAGAGGAAGACAGAGACAGTGCGACATAGAGAGAAGGAAAGGGAAGAGTGGGGATCTCAGCGCCATTGCTGCAGATCCTTGATCTTCTTCGATCCCATCTCCGTGTTCTTCTCAGCCTCTCACAGTCGCAGCATCACTCGCCCACTCACTCACTCACTACAGGTACACCTCTTAAACTCTCGCTTACTCTCTCTCCACTGAAATTTGAAGGTGATTTTCCAACCCTAAATTGATATATTTCATACCTTGATTTTATCTTAATTTATCTGGAATTGATCTGCATATGTGTAGTATAGATAGTTTTATCTAATGTTGTAGAATCCATGTCCTATTCAGAAATTCTGAGATGGTGAAGGTTACGGAAAAATTGGAAGGTATATAGAAATTCCAATATGAGTTCTCCAGCCGATTTGAGGTGGGTAATACAAACTTTTATGTTAGGTTGATTTGTTTTCATTTTTTGGGATGCTTATTTTCATCTGGAAACAAGGCTAAGCATCCAAAAGTTTCAATCTTATACCCATTATTCATTACTGGCTTAATAATCATCAATTTTCCTCTAACTTTGTTTATGAATTCTGATCTATAATCAAGGACACACAGGTGTACCAATGCCTCCATTTTCCGGCGAAACATCACCACAGAACCACCACCACCCACTCCGTTCTGCTCAGGACACACATGAGAAGGCCTTTCACTGTGCAGTGGCTACTGCCACTGTTCATCTGCTTCTCTTAAGAGACTCATTACTCCCGACCTCGGTAAACCACCCTTACACTCCTCCTTTCTGTTTTCAATTTGGGACTCGAATTCAAGCTTGCATGTATTTTAGTTTTTCATACTTATCATCACCCTCTTTGTCTCTCTCTAAACAATTTCCAATTGGTTTTTAGAGAGAGAACGTGGTAGCAGCAGCAGTGGGAAAGGTCTTTTCCTGTCTCTGTGATTTTCTTTGCCCTTCAAATCTCTAGGGTTTGGCTTTGGCTCCGTTAGTTGTTGAGGTAATTATTAATGCCTACTTCTATTGTAATTTTTTTTTCCTTATTCAGTAAGTTTGATCAAATGGGTTTCTTTGGACTTGCATAAGTTGTGTATAATATTGCTTTAATCATTTATTGGGTTCCTTTTGTATTATTGAGTCTTGGGTTTTGCTGGAAATTGTATAAATTTTGACCAAAAAGGAGCAGATAATTAACTGTTCTAATCACTAATTCCCCACTCTGAGAACTTGAGACCTTGGACTGATATGCATTTCTGAGATTTATTATTTATTTTTGTATAGAATATTTAAAGGTGTTAAACTTTTAGTGTAATTATAAAGTATGGGTCTTTGATTCCATATAAATTGCTGTTTATATTTGTGAATTGAAGAGGGGAGCATTTACATGTGGAGGCTACAAGGAGGGGTGTCTTTGAGAATGTTGGGCTATCTATTTTATCTGTAGTTCTTCATTTCACTAAATTAAATATGAATTATTAATTTTTCAATTTTTAAAATGAAAGATAAAAGAAAATCATATGTACTTAATTATATATATATATATATGTGTGTGTGTGTGTGTGTGTGTGTGTAGATAGTTGCTGAGAAGAAATGGAGGAAGTGGGATGTGTTTTCATGTTCTCCCCAACACAACAAGTGCTTCATTTGTGCTGAGGAAACACTACTCAACCCTTCTCTGCCATTACGAGCAGGTTCCTTCTCTCTCTCTGTATTTCTTTGGTGCTTACGTACATTAGTTCTAATGAATGTCTTTTCATTAGGTTGATGCTGATGGCAACGGAACCATAGACTATGATGAGTTCATCGCAACAACAATGCACTTGAACTGGATGGATAGAGAACATCTCTACACTACCTTCCAACACTTCGATAAAGACAGCAGCGGGTATGCAGAGATCATGATAGATATGGGCTCTTTTTTTTATTTTTTATTTTTTATTTTTTATTTTTTTATCTTTTACATAATTTTCTTAAATTCCAATTACATAACACGGAGTAAGGTTATAACTCATCAACATCTTATTTATAACAATGTTGCCAAAATGCATTCTGATTATCAGGTATACCATGATGGAAGAACTAGAGCAAGTCCTCCACAAATACGTCATGCATGGTGAATTTTAATCTTTCCAGGTACACACCCATATCTATATCCCAAACAACTGTTATTATGTATCAATTTATATAATTTATTTTTGCTTTCCAGTTACAACCATATCTCACTCCCTTTGGTACTCTCTCTCTCTCTCTCTCTCTCTCTCTCTCTCGCTAAAATCTCTGTTGGGTTTCTACCAATATGTCAATTTGTATAATTTATTTTTTGATGTGAGATTTGGTGCATTTGATTTGGGTTATCGTTTGAGTTGTATTCATGGTTTTTGCTTAAGATCTCTTTTTTTAATGGGTAAAAGACTGTTTACTACCCTCATGTTTCGCGGTTTTCAACATTTAGTACATCAAGTTTTTTTCGTCTTAGATTCATACCTAAAGTGTAAATTTTGGAACTGTCTCATACATCCGTTAGTCAAACTGTTAAGTTTTCTGTTAACTGTGACGTGGCGCACTGACTGGGCGTCATGTGTCATCCGAGTTTTTTTTTTTTTTTTCTTTTTTCTTTCTTTTCTTTTCTTCTTCCTTCTTCTTCTTCTTCTTCTTCCTCCGACTGCAACGTTCTTTTCTTTCCTTCTTCTTCTTCCTTCCTTCTTCTTCTTCCTTCCTCCTTCTTCCTTCTTCTTCCTTTTCCTTCTTCTTCTTCTTCTTCCTCCGAAATCTGGGGAAGTTTGTTTTTTTTTTTTTTCTTTCTTCTTCTTCCTCCTTCTTCTTCCTTCTTCTTCTGCTTCTTCCTCTTACTGCAACTTTTTTTTTCTTCCTCCTCCTTCCTTCCTTCTTCTTCTTCTTCTTCTTCCTCAAAAAAAAAAAAAAAAAAAAAAAACTTTCATCTTCCCCCAGATTCGGAGGAAGAAGAAGAAGAAGAACGAAGAAGGGGAAGGAAGAAGGAGGAATGAAGAAGGAGAAGAAGGAGGAAGAAAAAAAAAACTGAATCTGGGCAGATTCGGAGGAAGAAGAAGAAGAAGAAGAAGGAAGAAGAAGAAGAAAGAAGAAAAAAAAAAGAAAAAACTGAATCTGGGTAGATTCGGAGGAAGAAGAAGAAGAAGAAAAAAAAAAAAAAAAACTTCCCCAGATTCGGAGGAAGAAGAAGGAGAATGAGAAGGAAGAAGAAGGAAGAAGGGGAAGAAAGGGAAGGAAGGAGGAAGGAAGGAAGAAGGAGAAGGAGGAAGAAAAAAAAAGAAAAAAAAAGAAAGTTGCAGTCGGAGGAAGAAGAAGAAGAAAGAAGGAAGAAGAAAAGAAAAGAAAGAAAAAAAAAAGAAAAAAAAAAACTCGGATGACACGTGGCGCCCAGTCAATGCGCCACGTCACAGTTAATAGAAAACTTAACAGTTTGACTAACAGATGTATGAGACTGTTCCAAAATTTACACTTTAGGTATGAATCTGAGACGAAAAAAACTTGATGTACTAAATATTGAAAACCACGAAACATGAAGGTAGTAAACAGTCTTTTACCCTTTTTTAATTGTTGCTGCAGCTTGCTGTGCATGTGAGATTTTCTTCCAGGTCCAATATTGTCCAAATTCATTACTGCATTTCAAGAGAGCTTGCAACTTATAACTTCGCTCCCAACTCCCAAGTGAGTCTTATATAGCAAATCACCCTAATAACCTTTCTAAATACGTTAAATGGTGAAAGTGAGAAATGGTGAATCTAAATGGTGGTGTGGTACATCGTGTAGAATCTTTTGAATTCAAGTTGTCTTTTGTTTTTTTTTCCCCTTTCTGTTAATTTAAATTGGGATTGGCTACTGATTTGTTTTTGCAGATTAGGAGGAAAAGAGAAATCATGTGCATTTCATTGTTTTGGAGCATTGCAAATAAATACAATATACAATCAAATTAGGAAAAGATAAAAGAATATGCTTGATGACTGATTGGTTTATGGATTAGTAGTATTATTTGTGGTGTAGATCATGGTTTTCAGGTCTTTTACAATTTGAGTGGTTGTGCTTAAGGGTAGATGATGATGTAGGATGGAGATAGTTTTTAGAGAATGCTGGATTTACATTTGTTGGAGTACATTCAAGTAGTTTTGTGTCCCTGTGAGGTATTTGATATTCCTCATAGTTTTGTTCTTGACCATATTGGCTATTATGGATTTGTCTGCTATTGGCTATTATGATTTTGTCTAGCTAATGGACTCTATGACAATGTGCTTTGGCTTTTTTAATTAAAAAAAAACTAAATTCTAATTTCATTTGATATAAATGCGTTCTCTGCCCATTGTTGAGCAATTTCGAAATTAGGGTTGGGTTGGGGTCTGTTTGGTTGCCTGGAAAATGTGGAAAGGAAAATGGGGTCATGGGGTTTCTTGATTTGTTGTTGGATTTGTGGGAACTGCAATTTCTGGTGGAATTTTTATGTGTATGTTCTTGGGGGAAAAAAGTTACATACTTTTTTTGGTTTTCTTAGCCACCAAATGGGAATAATTTCATTTTCTTTTATTTGTATTTGTAGTGATGTGATTCAGGTTCTATTTATTATGATTTTAAATCAAATGCCTTACTTCGTCTAAATTTATTACAAGATCTAATTTGTATCTTGCGGAAATGGTAAATAGGCCATTTTCGGAATGACATGAAATTAATTAGATATGGCATAAAAAGAGGGGATACTTAGTCTCATAAATCTATTTCAGTTGAAAAATGTATTTTGGCAAGGGCACTTTGAGCTGATTAAGTGAAGAACCAAATTGTCTTGCATGCTTCTTGTTTATTTAAAAAAATGGATTGGATTCCTATAAATATCTTAGTGAAGAACCAATTTCATGACATTGCAGAGCTTTTTGAATTGGAGCCTTTTCTTGCTTGCAATTTTGAATTATTTCACATTATTTTGACTTTTTTTTTTCTTTCTTTTTTTAGAACATTGTTGAGAGTGGGTTTTGCTTAAGCTTTGGAGTTCTTAACTCAGATACTCTCTTGGGTACGTTCCATATGAGTTTCAACTGCATATATATGTGGCTTTAGATTTGTTGGTTCAATAAATTGTAAGCCTTGATTTTAAAACCACTTTAGTCTAAAAGGAGTGAGAAATGAAGTTGGTCATATAGTATGTGTCGTAGTGTTATAAAAATCTGTCGCAATACAATAGTGATAATGAGTAAATATTATATTTATGAAACAATGCGGGATTTGTTGGATTTCGTTTCTTTTTTGTTTAGTGTGGATTCTTAGTCTTTTCTTTTGTAATTTTTGGTGCTTTCAGACCATATGTGAACTGCATACCGCTTATGTTTCTTATGCAAACAGACTATTTTTTTGAGATTACAACCTTTGTGAATAAAAACTTTTAAGTTCTTAATATCAGCTGAATTGAATATAAGTGAAAATCAAACTGCCTTGATTTGTTCACCCATCTATTGGTTATTTAAATTCTTTAGAGATGCCTATATTGATTTGAGATTTTATTCTATTAGATTCACTCTGGTGAAATGTGTGCTATCTGCATTAGTGCATTTAGGGGGTGACTCCGTTCGTACTGCTTTGTAGTGCATCTTTTTTTGCAAATTATTTACCATGCTGCCACTGGCTCTTTCTTCCCCAGCTGTTGGTGGATTTCATGTTATTTACAAAATTACCACTGCCTCTTCGTTCTTCGTTCGGTGAGGGTTTTGGGGATGAGAGGCCATGCTGCCTCTGAGATAGAGATAGAGAGGGATCGCTCGGTGAGGGTTTCAGGGATGGGAGGCCATGCCGATAGACATAAACATAGAGATAGAGAGATAGGGAGACACAGACAGAGCAACTGAGAGAGAGGGAGAATGAGGAGTGGGGATCTCAGCGCCATTACTACAGATCCTCGATTTCATGAGTGGGAGAGGGGACAACAGTCAAAGAAAAGCATGGGGACCGTCGGGATTTGAGGGAGAGGGGTAGGGATCGTGGCTGGGGGTCTAGGTTTGTCCCATTGGTCCGTTTTCGACAGCACCACTGCGCTCAAACACTCTCTCTCGATGTGGAAGTCTCTCCTCCCCTTACTCAATCCTCTGATTCTTGTCTATTCATGGTTGGTAGATTTATAAAAAACCTTAAAGGATAAATTTGGGGTGGGATTTGGGTTTTCTGTGCATTACTTAAATTTTGCATTTTTTTTTCTTCTGGATTTTCAATTAAGAAATGAATAAATTTGGGGGTTTCTGGTTTTGTATTTTGCTGTTTATATGCTGGAATTACAGGACAAGGAGTTGGACCCTGGATGTGCTCTGCTTCGTCCATCATGTGTCTGCATGTCCTCATTCACAAGATAAGTACCATTTGTATACTTGATTTTCTACTGTTTGGTTTGGTTTTAATTCTCTCTGCCATTCTCACTCCACACTCTTTGTCTCTCACTCAGTTCAAAGCTCTTCCAACTTTTTCGCACAAATTGCTCAAACATTCCAGCTCTCAAACATCTCAGATCCCTCACTCAGTTCAAAAGTATGTTTTTTTGTTGTTTCTTGGTGAAAGATTGATCAGCGATGATTGCTATTGTTTATTCATGGTTGATTGAGCATTTTCGTTATATGAAACCATGAAGATTAGTTGCCTCGTTGCTGAGTTTTTTTATTTCTTGATGCATTTGTGTTGATCAGGCACGAAGGGACCGGTCGATACGAAGCGCATCTATGGGACAATGGTTGCAACAAAGAAGGGCAGAGCAGGAAGGGTAGGTAAGGTGTTTGGATCAAAACTTGAACTTTGGGCTCAAGAAAGGAGCTGGCCTAAAAGGAGACCCGAAAGGGAAAACAGCCGAAGCCCAGTCAAAGCCCAGAAGGCAGAAAAGGCCTTTTCTGACTTGGTGCAGCTCATGAAGACCACTTGCTTACCTACCCAAAGGCCAAGTGGTATAGACTGATCAGCTACACAGCCCATAAAGTACTTTATGATGGCAGTACATGTAAAAAAGCTGATGAGTCATCACCCTCAAACCGCATTCGGGCAAGGCTGCTGCTATGAGGCCAAGCCGAGTTGTCTATATAAGAAGAAAGAAAAACCAGGAATAAGGACACTCAATCAAACAAACAAATGCAAGCACAAACTCTGCTCAAAGCCAGATTTACCTTCAAAACAAAGCTGTAGTCAGCCTTCATCCCTCTCGGGACAAACCTTCATCCCTCGCGGGATAACCCTCCCTTCAAACCTTTGTAATAGCTCTGCTACCCTGTTCAACCTTGCTGTAGTATCGATTCATCTTTTGTAATCTCTCTTTCTATCCCTCTAAGCTTTCAGACCCTTGACAAAACTACAAAGATAGGAACCTACAAGACGAGCAACCTTACCTGATAAGGTTTAACCTTGCCCGACCTTCTTTGCTTTATTTTTGTCTTTTCAATATGTTGTATACTTCCAGTTATATGCAAGTTATTTCTAGCAATATGACTATTAAAAGGCTTTCTCAGTACTTGAATCCGATTTGAATATATCTTTAGTGTTCAAACCAGATCCAAGTCCTAAGCCTTCGGGCATGTAAATCTGATCAGTTAAAAGTCCTTGGCCTCAAGGCATAAAAAAGAACTTTATGTGGACTTAACCCATCCACGACAGTCCTTGATAAACGAGAAGTCCGAAGTTACTTAGGGCGCAAGTAATCGACCTACCCTCTAGTTTTATTTCTATTATATTATGATTACCATAGAACGCTTGAACATGGAATGGATTCTGATGGAAAGCCTCAAGGCCTACACCTAAGGCCCCATAAAGGCATCCATTTGGATTCATTCCGTTCTGCGATCTAAAGAGTCTAAGTATAAGAACGAACTCTGATGGGAAGCCTCAAGGCCTACACCTAAGGCCCCACGAAGGCACCTATTTGGGTTCATTCTACTTCTTGGACTCGGGTAATCAGAAGTATAATAGTTAGAAAACTCCCGCAATCACGAGAACAAATATGATGTGTTCGAGCACTGGCTTAGTTATTTATGGGAAGCCTTAAGGCCTACACCTAAGGCCCCACAAAGGCACCTGTTATAACTAACACGGTTTCTTGGATATATACATATATACAACTAAAACGCGACATCCATTTTACATCTGTCATGCTAAAGATGGCAGTGGCATGCCTAAGCACCTAAAAGTTAACCTTGATTGTGAGCCTCAAGGCCTACACCTAAGGTCCCACAAAGGCACCTATCAAAGTTAACTCTGTCCTTCTCTTTCAGCCTTGCCCGACGAGTCTTGCCCGACACGACTTGCCCGAAGAGACTTGCCCGACAACGCCCGACAGTGAAGCAGAAGCTAGACAGCAGCCCTCAACCAGCGTCAACCTACAGGGGAGCTGTGTGCTCGTCGGCCAGGAAACATCCCCGACGGAAATTCCTGATGCGAACACAAGGTTTGTCAAGAAATCACAATGATGTTTTTAATTACAAGAAATGTGCATTTTTTTCCAGTCAAATTCTGCTTTTGTTCCGACTATTTTCCATACTATATGCTGATTTTATTTTTTAATTTTTGGTTTTTCTTTGATTAGCTGGGGAATTACAATCAAATGATGAATCTTCGGTTTACTTGGGTAAGCATTTTTTCACATATAATTTGGCTGACCATTTTAACTGTCAAACCATGTTGTTTTAGTTCATGCTACTAAGAGTAAATTGTAGCTATGGTCCCTGAACTTTACTCAAATTGGAGCAATGGTCCTTCAACTAAAAATCCATTACCATTGGTCCTTCAACTCATTAAAACGTGTAGCTATGGTCCCTCAACTAAAAATCCATTACCTTTGGTCCCTCAATTTTAATTCAACTGGAGAAATGATCCCTTAACTTTATCCAAATTGTAGCTATGGTCGTTCAAACATAACTCGTTTTGACAAAAATTTTTACGTAGTTGACAAAAATGACCATAATTACACACTTTGATGAGTTGAGGAACCCTAATTAAATAAATGGTTATTCCAACATAACATATTTTGACAAAATTTTGAAGAAATTAATGAAAAGGACTATAGCTACACATTTTGATAAGTTGAGGGACCAATGGTAATGGATTTTTAGTTGAGGGACCATTGCTCCAATTTGAGTAAAGTTCAGGGACCATTGCTACAATTTACTCTGCTACTAATCATGCATTCGGTAGCTTTACATATACAACGCGTCTAAATGCTAATCGATGCTGATCGGGTTTTACAGGCAAATCCAGCAGCCCTCTCTCGCTCTCAATTTGTTTTGAGGAGACCGTGTAAAGGCTCTCATTCAGCTCGATATACATAGTTTAGGATTAAGATGATATCCCAGTGTTTTTTCTCGGTGACGTACCAAGGGGGTAATGCGTATCAGGAGTACATTACATAAGATTTGATGCTGAGATAGGTGGCCAGTTTCAGTTTGAGTTATGCAAATATTGAATTCGGGCCAGTCTCCTTTTCGGGCCTACTGATTGGCATGTCTTCCTCTCTTTTTTTCCTTTAATATGGTTCAAAATCAAGTACTTATGCTCTGCTAAGATAAATAAAACGGGCCGATATCACGGAAATCTTAGAGATACGAGGGAAGAAAATTACTTCACTCCTACTATCGGTGTCGGAGTCTTTAAAAATGATATACATACGAGGGGGAGTTTTATAAAAAGTTACACCTAATTAGAATGACATGATAACATAATACTAACATTAAGGGCTTATAGAGCATATACATCTGCCATTTGGTATGGTGCATTACAAACAGTGTTCCCTAACTGATGGAAAGATAGGAGGAAGATGAAAGTCAGATTAGCTGGAGTTGGGGTGATGAAACGGGCGAGCCCTGATTACTACTCAAAAAGTCATATCTCGCTGAATCCTGAACCTGCGCTGCAAACTGCAGATTCCAAAGAATGTCTTCGACTGAAGGCCTATCAGCTGCCTCATCGGAAAGACATCTCACACATATCTCCATCATTGTCTTCAGCGATTCATCCGAGCATTCCTTGTGCACCGCTGGATCCACAATGCTCCTTCGAGCTGTGTCATCGGTGGTCAAACTTACTTGTAACTGCGTAGGAAACAACCAAAACAGAATTTCTGGTTTAGCTGGAGAAAGCAATTTTTGTTGGTTCAATCAGGATGATTTCAAAGAGTTTTGAGAGTAAAAGAAAAGAACAAATTGATTGAAGAGAAAACACTCACAAGGTCTTTCAAAACACGAACTTCATTTTGGAACATGATAGGCCTCCCCAAAATGATTTCGAGCAAGATTACTCCGATATCATAAACGTCGTTCTTACACTCATGGTTAACCCTGCAAAAGAGAGTAATTAACAAAATCATCCAATATGTGTGCACATGTTGTGTATTCGTATGCAAAAAGAATGTAATGCAAGCATACAAGTAAAGAGGTTTGCACTTATTTCAATTGGATCTATCTTCCATACCAAAAGAGTAACCATGTCAGGTAATGCTGATGAAACTATAACTAAATACACAAAATAAAAGAGCTTATAAGGATTTCATGAGATACCGAAGCAACACATTAGACAAAAGGCGGGCTTATTAATGCATTTCTGTGAAGCTAGAGGGAGACTCAGATGAGGAACTTCGTTTAGAATGGTGTCATTTATACTAATGATGATCAGTAACCGAACCAGACAGGCACTTATATGATGATTAACATGAAGCAACTCGAGGCGGATTCCTTATATAACTCAAAAATGAAGCTTTGCAGAAAGAGTAATTTAAAATTTTGTGGAGGAGAGCTTCATGCTGAAGTATTTGGCTGGACTCTGCACCAAATAACTGAATTTATTGGCCTAGCTCGTATGCGTTTAATATGTGATTTCTATATTTGGAAAGTAGACATGCTAATACCTAGTTTGAATGCTTCCTTTCGGTGCAGGAGAAGAAACTGTAGTACCCACCTGATGGATAAAAAAGCAAAAGTTAACTCGGAGGACAATGTCGAGGGGGATTTTACTCACCAAAGCAGTATATTTTTGTAGGTCTTACCGTTCCCCTGTTGTTTTCAGCTAAAAGAGGTAGGTTATAACTGCTTATTTTCACATGAAGATCGTGATCCAATAAGACATTTGTTATCTTGAGATTGTTTGATTTTACACCAGGAACAATCCCTGTATGCAGAAACTGAATACCCTTTGCAACTCCAATTGCAGCTACTATTCTCTGCGCCCAAGTAAGCTTTCGTTCTGGGGGTCCTTCTGCCAAACTAAGTGTTAGACGTGAATATCCAATTTCTCCAAACGCAAAGATGTTACGAACAGAGGCAATCAAAGAAGATGAAGAAATCAGTAAAGAGTAATGGATGACTGTCCATTGCCACATATATGAATGCAATGTTGAGCAATTAAATAGGTCTCACCTAGAAACCTTCTGCTAAAAGATACTGATAACACGTCATCCGGCATTTCAAGCATTAGATATTATATACTTCAATCTAAATCATGACTGAATTTTTTTCTTTCTTTTTCTTGGTTTCACATGAATTACGTATAGAATACAGGATATCATCATAATCTGAAATCACTTTCTACGATTAACAGAAGAATGATTCAGAGTTACGTAACTGAAAATGCAACCATTAATCCTGAAAAGCAGTATAAGAACATGAAAGTAACTTTACCAGAAATGCAGCCTCTTAGAGTTCCATTTGGAACAAACTCAAATACAAGAAATATTCTGCTGATGCCTGAATCATCGGGATGGTACTCCAAGCAATGTCCAAGAGCGCTAACCAAATGGCTATGTCTCAGTTTTGAAATCAGTTCAAGGTGGTGCGTGTAGACTTGCGGAGCCTGCCTCTTTCTCATTTTCAAGCCTCTGATAGCAACAAGTGTTCCGTTGGTGAGCATCCCTCTATACATCTGCCGTTATTGTTACAAAACAAAAAACATTTTAGAGTGACAAATTTGCATTTAACTAGATCATAAAGACCAAGACATTCATATTATAATCGCCAGAGTATGCTGAAAACTCTAAGTATTTCTTGAAATGGTAGTCCACAGGACAATTAGCTACAACAGAGAGATTGTACAATTCAAATGTTATGTATTAGTGCATTTCGACAGTTCTGAACTATGCTATCAGTAAGTAATGTTGAATACCTGTCCATGTTTGCCTTCACCAAGTAATGTCGAATCATCAAAGTCATTCGTGGCTTCCTTGAGCTCCTCCAAAGAAAATGTTCGATAAGCAGGAATGCTGGCTCCCAGCTTCATTGTTTCTGATATATATTCTGCAAATAAAGGACTCTCCTACTGTAATTGTGTATAAAAGAATGTGATGGTGAGTGATTCTCGTGATCCTATTTTACAGAGGATGAAAAGGAAAGAAATTTCGAAATTACTTGCATCCGAGAGTAGCTTGGCTGTGTTGACTGTTGAAGCTGAATCTCTAATCAACCGTGTTCTGGGACTTTTAACAGGCAGCTGTTTGCCGTATAACCACTTAACAGCCATGAAAGCCAGAGCAACAATTGCAGCGGCACCCACAATGCCTGCCACCGCTCTTGATGCAACTTGTTTATTATCATGAAGCCTCTTGCGCTTTTCGTCACCAGAAGGCGGTATCTCCACAGCCAGAGCTTCATTGTGGCACAAGTTAGAAGGATGCTGCGGCTGCTTCTGGTCCACATTCGTCAAACAATTCCCGGAATAGAGAACAACCACACTGCTGCTCTTCGAACCCCGGTTTTTGAGGCAAGTGGGCAAGTCCCCTGCCAAAAGATTTGAGGACAAATTCACAAAAGCAAGCTCAGCATTGCAAGACATGTTCTTGGAGAGCACTCCGGTGAATTTATTTCCGGCAATGTCAAGATAATTGATGGAAGGCAGCGACAGCCACGAAGGCGAAAAAGGCCCCACGAATTGATTGAGTGAAATGTCAAGCCTCTGGAGCTGAAAACCGCCTCGGAATCCGGTCTGGATTCCAAGGCGAAACTTGTTGTTTCGGAGCACAAGGGTCACCAGCTTGTTCTTGGAACGTAAGCTTGGAAAACGAGGCCCGAAATAGTTAGCTTCCAAATCAAGAAGTTGCAAGTTTGTGAGGCTTTTGAGGTCAGGAACTTCGCCGGCCAGGAAGTTGTGGGAGAGAGAGAGGACTCTGAGGGTATGCAGAGATGCCAGAGAACGCGGGAGAAAGCCGTTGAGGAGGTTGTGGTTCAAACTGAGAACGGCCAACGACGGAAGCGAAGCCAGCGAAGGCGGGAGTCGGCCGGTGAAGTTGTTGCGGTCGAGGATGAGAGTCTGGAGGTTGACGAGGGAGGAAATGTGGGGAGGGATGGCGCCGCTGAGGTAGTTGGAGGTGAGGTTGAGAATCTCGAGGGAAGATAAACGGGCGAGGGAGGGAGGGAGTGGGCCCCAGAGGCGGAGAGAGACCAGAGATAGGACTTTGAGGGTTGGGAAGGCGGAGGCGAGAGCGGAGAAGAGAGAGTGGGTTGAGAAGTCACGCGGCAGCGGAGGGAAGGCAGCTCCGCCGCCTGAAATGTGAAGCTGGGTAACGTTGCCTTGGTAGCAAGAGAGAGTGAGGGAAGGAGTTGGTTCAACGCTGCACAAAGAGTGTCCGTCCTTGGAACTGACTAGGGTTAGAGGTGGTGGGTAGTTGAGGAGCTGCTGGATTTTCAGAAGGCTCTCAGACTCCGACTCAGTAGCAGCACCTGAGTGGTGGACGGAGAAGAGGGAGGATATCAACAGAAGAAGAAGAAGATGTGAGTTCGCCATTGTTACACTGAAACTGAGTAGTTGAGTGAGTTGCAGAAACCCAGAAGGCGTCACTTCTACAAAATCTTCCTTCTTCAACTCACCTTCTAGCTGGATTTTGCTATCAACTAATCACATGTTCAGTTGTATCAAACTAATAACCTGGTCCTTTCCTATTTCATTCATTTTCTAATCTAATCTTCGAACTTGAATCCAGAGGATACCGTTGTTTATTTTGACGATGTGGAGTGTTGTTCCGTACACGTTAAAAAATAAAAAAAATAAATTATTTAACGTGTACGGACAACACGAACTATTATTAATTAGCTCCACCTATAATTTTTTCGCTAATTAAAGTTTTGAATTCAACTACTTCCTATTTTGTGTGCTATTTATGCAAAAATATATTATTAGTTATTACGTTGTGTCTTTATAGAGACTTCCACTTGTAGGTCTCAAAACATAGGTTGCCTTTTTCCACCAGAACTCTAAACCGTTCGATCACATGATAAGTTTACAGGCAACACCACTCTCTTTTACGGTTTTACCCTCCTCTTTCTATCTACATTCCACCTATGAATTTCATACATAAAAAAAATAAGGATGAATTGTCAATTTAGTCCGTTTGGCAAAATAAAATAAAATAAAATAACTGTCAATTTAGTCCTTAAATTATCACTTGAGTGAAATTTAGGTCCCTAAACTATTTTTTTTTCAGAAAAATTAGTCATTGAATTAAACAAATATGCCAATTACATCCTTAATATTATATTCGAAGCTATTATATTCAATTTTCAGTTAATTTAAGTCACTTTATTTGCATATGATATACATTGGAGGGTAGATTGGTAATTTTATATAAAGGAATAGTGTATGAAGTTAACTCTAGAGGGTAAATTAAAATTAGACATTAGACACGCAATCTATATGAAATGTTAAAGGCTTATGAGCGAGAAAATGATGGTATTACACTCAAAAGTGTGTCAAGCGACTTAAGTTGACGAAAAATTGAATAAAATAGCTTTGAATATAATAGTAGGGATAAAATTAGCAATTTTAATGAATTTAGAGACTTATTTTACCAAAAAAATTAAAATAATTTAGAGATTAATTTTCACTGAGATGATAGTTCAGAAACTAAATTGGCACTTCATACTAAAAATAAATAAATGTAGTAAAGTACTATTTTGGTAAAATTTGAGAGTAATGTGAGAATTATTAAAAAAATGTAAAAGTACCTCAATACATATGTAAACGGTTAAAAGTGAAGTGACAAATGGGTAGCCAGCAGTGAGAGGAAGATAGATAAGAGGAACAGAAGCCAAACAATTAGTTAAGTACTGAAAGCATAGTAATTGTCGGTGGTCCATCCACTTCACTTGACGTGAAGTAGATAAGCAATTATTTAAGGATGGTACTTGCACTCTTGTGAATGCATATATCTTATAATTTGCCAATAACGTATTTTTTTACTCTATAAGTTTTATAACAGAAATTGTTTAATTTCATAATCTTTATTTGAAGACTATTCATACAAAAAAAATGATTCGAATTGCATATTATTTAGTCATTTAAATGTATAAAATAAATAAACAGTTCATCGTAAATATGTTACTTAATTATCATGCCGTCGATTTATTCCATAATTTTAAATGTACAAACTGACACACCCCGATCCTAGAATCAAGACGTGACATGGGTGACCCACTAAGAAGTTGCTCGTGAGTTCTCAGAAACAAAACCGTGAGGGCGTGGTAAGCCCAAAACGGACAATATCGTGCTACGGTGGTGGAGCGGGCCCGAGAAATGGTCCGCCCCGAACCGGGATGTGACACAAACAATTGATTTTTTATTTATATGATATTCGAATAAATATTAAGATATTAAACAATTTCAATTATAAACTATACGTTAAAGATACGTTATTCAGAAGGAGAATATTCATAAAAATAAAAAATAAAAATAAAAAATAAAATAAAAAGAAGTAGAACATTTGCAGGACGCAAGTATTATTGATTAATGAATGCGCCGCATGGAATCTACGCCATGTTTCAGAAATTGAGTAGATCAATAATTCCTCAGAAGTCTATGGTATGGTGTGAATGTGTGGGACAGGGCAAATGCACATGATAATATCAAGTGTCACAAATGCATTTGTCTTCGCATAGAAGACTGGCACGTCATACCAATGGAAACTTTTGACTACGTTTGTCTTCTAACAGGACGATCAGTTTTTGTTAAGTACTATTTATATTTATTTTTAAATAAAAGTATTTAAAATAATTCATGATCGCATGATATATGATGAATAAACACGATTCATTAATCACCGAGATCCCCACAAAGAGGATCCGGACTCGTTTGTCTCTATCAACATATTTGCCTATGTTTGTTCATTACATTTTCAATTTAACAAAAAAAATAAAATTCCAAAAAGAAAAATCAGGTTTCATTTATATTTCAAGAGCAACTCGACCGTGTAATATTTTGTTTTGATGTGAATGGCGCATAAATGTATATGCTCATCAATTTTGCTTGTGACATGGGACCAAATTTGGTCAAATTTCTTCATTTACTATCCCAAAACCGCATTATAAAGTTTTGAGGATATTTTTGATATTTCATTAATTGTTTATGTTTTTTTTTCTATTTGAACTTTAATACTTCTAGGGTTTGGGTTTATGTATTAGGCCTATAAATACACCTCTCGGTTGTTGTGAATGTTATCTTTCAACTATATTCAATAAACTCGAGCTTTCTCAACTTTCCTAGTAGATTCTAAAATTTTGTTATTAGATTCTAATATTAGGATTTCGTTCAATTTTCCTTGTTATATATTCCGTTACGTCAGCTAGGAACGATGCGCCTCTCTTTAGGCATCGAAACTCAAATTTGCCTTATGCCATTTAAATTAATTTAAAATTAAATAAAACTACATGTAGTTTTGAGTATTTTTGAACAATATGTAATTTGTGCAAAAGTTTAAACTGTGCTCATATTGCCAAGTCTTCCCTCAAATTAAAAGACAAAGAACAAAGTAGTTTTCAAAGATAAATTATTAAGAAAGAGATGTTCACTAGGTTTCCTTTTTATGGGAAATATGAAAACCATTGCCCAAAAAGAAAAATAATTCTTGATGCCGATATATTCTATGTAGTTCAAATCAGTCGTTTTCTAGACAGCAAACTCGAGCTTTCTCAACTTTAAGATAAATACACCTCTTGGTTGTTGTGAATGTTATCTTTCAACTATATTCAATAAACTCGAGCTTTCTCAACTTTTCTAGTGGATTCTAAAATTTTGTTATTAGATTCTAATATTAGGATTTCGTTCAATTTTCTTTGTTATATATTCCGTTGCGTCAGCTAGGAACGATGTGCTTCTCTTTAGGCATCCAAACTCAAATTTGCCTTAAGCCATTTAAATTAATTTAAAATTAAATAAACCATATGTAATTTCTGCAAAAGTTTAAACTGTGCTCATATTGCAAGTCTTCCCTCAAATTAAAAGACAAACAACAAAGTAGTTTTCAGAGATAAATTATTAAGAAAGAGATGTTCTCTACGTTTCCTTTTTATGGGAAATATGAAAACCACTGCCCAAAAAGAAAAATAATTCGTGATGCCGATGTATTCTATGTAGTTCAAATCAGTCGTTTTCTAGACAGCAAATTAAGAGTCGTTTTTATAGTGGCCAAACGCAAACAAACATTTTTGGTAGTTAGGCAGACAAATCTCACATCTTGCTGTCACGGGTGAGCCTATGAATATTCACTGCATTATTTTATTTGTAATCATAGTGGCTGAGAATCTAAACACTGATTGATGTCAAAAATTATGAAGCTAATTATGTTTGTGGTGATTAAATCAATACACCTACTTACTTAGTGCGCATGTAACTTTTCTTTGGTTCGTTTTAGTGACACCTCACAAATTATTATCCACACTTTACGTACTGTAAACATTCTGCATTTACTTTTAGAAAGAGAAAATACTTTAATACGCGCATTTTAACTTCCAAAAAACCCTCATACCCCCACACTTTAGGCATACGTCGATCTGGGATTTTAGGTTTCCATCCAGAGATGATCATCTATTGCTAATAAACGGATTGGCTGCAATGTTTGGCTGATCATCTTTGATTAGTTTGCACTAGTCATTTTAAACAAAAGTACCATATATTTCTTGGTGGTTTCGCGGGAGAAATGTGAAAACATCATCCTAATTCTTTGAGAAACATCAACATGTTTAGTGCTTTTACTGTGTTTCTTCAACCGCGATACCGTAGAAAAACATCATATATTTCAAGCATAATTTAAGTTTTTGACATTTGAATTTGTAGGTTGTATTTAGAAGTAAAAATTTAAAGTGTAGTCAATAATTTGTGAGGTGCCAATAAAAAATAAAAATAAAACTAACAAAAAGTCCAAAAAAACTTTAATTTTAATGAAAAATGACAAATAAAGGTATAGTGAATAATACCAGGAAAAGGTAAAAATATGATTTTTCGTTAAAAATGAACCGGTAGTGTTGCGTTAAAACTCCCATAAAAAATCCATCTATATGTTTATGTTTTAGTTCTTCGATTGGAGCGGCTCATTTGGTGGCGACTTTTGTTCTAAGACATGGTGGTTCATTTGGTGGCGGCAGCTATATTGGATGGGCAGCGATCTTGTTGGCCTCCCAATCAAACTAGCATGGAACTTGTATATATATAGAGCAGGCATGTCTTCCCAATCAAGCACCTGCATAAACAAAATGTCATTCACCAGAGGTTTAAAGACTCTCAACGAGTGGATAAGCATTCTACAGTTTAGGGTACATCAATCCCAAACTGACCCTTTAACCCTAAACCCTTTCAAAATTTGCACAACAATCCCAAACTGGCCCTTCGTCCTTACAACAAGTAAAGCTCGTCGCAGTTAACGTACCCCATAAGAATCGTGATAAATGCCAAAGGCCATAACAAAATTTTCAGTACTATAATTTTTAAAGCTTCACAGTTCACAATCACAACGTTAATCCAAATAGAGAGTAAGATAACATTTACGGAAGTAACAATGACAGAAGCAATAAAAAAAAATCCTTCATTCAGTTAATTAACAAAAACAATTAACCGAGATGAACCTACAACAATACTAATAAACAACATCGAAATTCCATTTTAATCAATCTACAAATCCAGAACAGAGTACAATGGAATATGAACTCAATTCGGCGGAATCAAATGAGGGTTTCAGACATTTACCTGGTAACAGAACCAGCAACACTAAGAACTAGTGATCTGTCTGTAATCTGTATTACCAATTCCGGAGCCTGTATCTTTTGCCTTCAGTAATCTGTATATCTTGCACTTCATCACCTTCGGTCCTCTTGAATACATGCCTTCGGTAAGTAAAGCTGAATGCCTTCAGTTTTTTTAACTAAACTAGGTCCACCCAAAAACCATATGTGACGTGTTCGTCAAAGTACAATAGTACATACAAGAATACAAAAGCCAAGGCCTCTGAATTATTATATACCACTTGTTTCTTTTATATTTATAAATGGCAAAATAAATAGAATGAACGCTCAAATCTAATCTTGTAACTCGAACTCATCGAAGAGAAGACAAAAACACTTTATGGCAGGAGAAAAGTGGGGGTGACCGGTATTGAACAAAGGACCTCAAATGCATGAGTAAATGATCTTAATCACTTGAGCTACAAGACACGTCATCTACTTCTTCGTTAGGAAAGATTAAAGTATTCTATTAAAACTAGCAAAATACTTGAAGTAGCGAGAGATTTCCTATGTTAACGCATTTAAAAGGTTAAGCAAATGATCTTAATCACTTGAGTTACAAGACACGTCATCTACTTCTTCGTTAGGAAGATTAAAGTATTCTATTAAAACGAGCAAAATACTTGAAGTGGCAAGAGATTTCCAATGTTAACACATTTAAAAGGTTAAGCAACATAAAAATTGAACTGCTACCACCACGAGAAAATTCACAATCATTCCATCCCTTGAAACCATCAGATTATCGCTTTCAAACCCTCACATCGCTGTGGACAAAAATCAAAAGAAAATTAAAAAAATCTCAGCGGCACAAAGGAAACAGAAACATCCAGATGAGACGAATTTTTGCACGTCTCAAAAGAAATAACCCCCAAATTTTCACTAATGAGTACACAACCAGAATATCTAAGCCTACAAGTTTCCAGTGGCCACTGAGTTATAAATTGCTATGGAATATCAGCCAAAGGATGACAACTTATCAGTGATTGCATACAAGTTTTAACAAACAACTTATGTGCATGGATTCATATGTTAAGGGTTACCGTTTGTTATCTATATGGATGTAGTCAGCAGACGAGTAGCATATAAAAAAAGGAAAACTAATGAAAAGGGCTCGAAAACTTTGAGTTTTAATGATAAGGACAAAATAAAGGGTAAAGTGAATAGTACTAGGATTGACTTTTTAGTGTAAAAATGTGGTTTTTCGTTAAAGTGAACAGTATCGGGTGCTTTTCGTTAAAGTTCCCTATAAAAAAATGATGTATTAGAAAAGATAACTTACATGCCTGATATAAACAACGTTGAATATGTGTGATTCTTGTTACTTTAGAAAGTCCAGCACTTGTTACTTTAGAAAGTCCAGCACATTCTCTATGCCCCAAGTCGCCTAAAACACAAACGATACTAGATGACAGAGAACAAATATACACCTTGCTGTACTGTTGAACTCAACCCACTGTGCTAATCTTTGAATTTTCTTCTGGAAGATATGGACAGACAATATCTGTGTACGTTTGCCTATCAGGAATTACTCCCTCAATTACCATGTAGTCATGCAATGCAATGACTTCTTCGGGGCTGCAATTCTTACTCAAATTGGTAATGAGTGTGGTGTATGTTATAAAATCAGGAACCACACCCCTTGAAATCATTACCTTCATAAGTTCTTTTGCTTGTTGAATACACCCAAACTTGCACAAAAAGTTGATCAATATATTGTAGGTGACTATATTCAATGAAATTCCAGCCTTTTCCATTTCCCAAAGCAAAACAAACGCCTGATCAATCATCCCACTAATGAAATACCCGTTTATCATTGTGTTATAGGTTATAATGTCAAGAACATCCATCCTCTGTAACGAATCCATCAAAAGTTTTGCAATATCCACTGATGCCTCTTTGCATAACCCGTTGATAACAGAATTGTATATCACCAAATTAGGTTTTTCCTTCCCCACTATCAGTTTTTCATAAATCTGAACTGCATTTCCTATGTTCCCTTCTTTGAAGTGGCAATCAATCAAAGTGCCATAGGTGATGGTGTCAGGAAGTAAACCACGAACAAACATGCTGCCCATCAATTGCTTGGCCGCTCTCAAATTTTTGCTTTTGCACAGATAATCGATCAGGATATTGTGGGAGAAAACATCCTTGACGAGGTTCTTCTCAAGGATGTGTCTATGAAATCTAATTGCTTCCGTCGCAAGCCCATTTCTAGAGAGCCCCTTGATGAGGATTGAGTAGGTGAATTGATCCGGGCATATATTCCTCTCAATCATGTCAGACAACAAGGAAAAAGCTTCCTCAGTATCTCCTTCTATGCAAAGCCGATGGATAATTGAATTGTAAACAACAGGATTAGGGGTCAAACCCCTTTCCACCATTTCATCGCACAATTGAAGTGCCACCTCCAAACTCCCCCGTCTTGCATATCCATCTACTAGAGTTGCATAAGTCCTCAAATTGACCGGAACACCTACCTCGGTCATTTCAGCACAGATTTCTTCTGCAACCGATAAACCACCAATTTTGCAAAACCCATTGATGATACAATTGTAAGTAACTGAATTGGGCGTAACACAGTGCTCCGACATTAGCCCCATCTTTCTCAAAACCTTCAAAGCAAGTTCCATATCACCTATCCTGCATGCTCCATCTATAATCATGTTAAAAGTAACAACACTAGGCCAAACTCCACTCTTCAACATCCGATAATATGCCGACATTGCTTCTAGTAACTTGCGTTCCTTACTAAGAGCATAAATAACCAAATTGAAGGTATTAACATTTTCAACATACCCATATGAAAGCATTTCCTTATACATCTTCCAAAACCTATCAATATCGTTCAACTTAATCACATGGTTAAGAAAGTTATTCCAAGCGTGAATCGAAACCCAATAACCATCCAGTCTCAGCTTCTTGATCACCTCATAAGCACCGTCGGAGTCCCCGAACTGAGTACAAGCCCTCACAAATGCATCAAATACTGCAGCGCTTGCACAACCACAACCTTCACCACAACTATTACTCAACCCTTCCAAAACAACCAATGCGGGCAAACCGTCTGCCCCCATTAGACTCTCCATAACAGACAAGGCATCATCGTACCTCCTAGAATCGATCAAAACATGAATTACAGTACAAGAAGATTCCAAAAACTGAGGAAAGTTCCTGTTCCTGTTCCAGCGAACCCAGTTATAAAATTCTAAGGCCAACTGCGGCGAGTTCCGAAACTCGCGAACAACACGGCTGACTAATGAACTGGTTAGACAGTGGGATATCTGCTCTAAGAGTTTCCATCTCCTCTGTCGAAGATTAACACAAACTGCTTTGAAGACAATGTTGTCGGAGTTTGGGGGTGAGAAATGCTTACTTGCGTGAAGACCGCGGCAAATCAGACGGCTTGTTTTGGGCGGAGAGAAGAAGCTTGGAACCCAGTTCATCAAATAGCGCCGCCGTTTCTGGAACAAAGCTTGAGACCCCAAATCCAGTGCATCATCACCATTCACTTCGCAGATTGTTTCGTTTCTTTTGTGTTCTTTTAAGACAACAGTGAGATACTGCGAAGAAGGGGGAGAGCCGAATGTCACAGAACTTCTACTTCTACGGGGGAAAACACAGTTTCAGTCTTTTTTTTTTTTTGTTTAACCTAGAGCTGTAGATGTTGGACTTTGGGCTTTCTGAGTAAGCTCAAATAGGAGAGATTTTCAAACATGTCCGAACCCGATGGACTTGGATTGTCTACCCTCCTATTTCGGTATCCTCCCGTGCCCTCTTGTTTTGTGTGATCACGGTTAAGCCACGTCAATATTTTATATTATTTTTTTATAAAAATAATAAAACAAAAAGAAATAGTAATATAAAATGTTGACGTGGCTTAACCGTGACCACAAAAACAGGAGAGCATGGGGAGGGCACCAAAATTGGAGGGCAGACAATCCAAGTCCGAACCCGATACGTCTTGTTATTATAAAAGTGGGGAAAAGTTGTTTCTTTTAAGTATTTTTTTTATTTGTATAACAACATATAACATAGAGGTCGCACTTGGTGCGATGGCAAGTGCCTTCGTCCATGAGCGGTAGGTCTCGGGTTCGAGACTTGGGAGCAGCCTCTCCATAAATGGGGGTAAGGCTAGCCGACATTCACCTCTCCCAGACCCTGCGTAAAGCGGGAGCCTTGTGCACTGGGTACGACCTTTTTTATAACAACATATAACATATTACGTCGGGTTTTGGTAAAAAAAATCTTTCCTCAAATACAAAGCAACTTACATAAAATAAGTTTGAAACTGTGTGATGTGTTAAGTTAATAATATAATGTTATGTGTTGAACAACTAACACATGTCACTGTGTAGTGAAAGGGATGTCACGGTGGTAGTAAAAAACTATCCCAAATTGGTGAAATTTTGTAGACATATGGATTATGATTATGATGAATGGTAAAAGATTACTTCAAAACATGTATAGATATATTATCTTTCATATTCTATTTGTCCTCGCATACAGTGTGCAAAAGCGATATACAAATAAGCATTGCGGATATAACGAAGCCCGGTGCCTTTTGTTTGTCAAAATTTAGCACCTCCCAAGACAAACGCTCAAAGAAATAGACAAGAACGCTCAATATTTAAATTTTAGTTTCAAGAGGCTTTTGTATAAGCAAATATAGGAATCAATGAAAGAGGCTTTGGTAGAATCTCCTTGTAGAGGTGCAATGTGTCTCTTCTAACCATCATCTCGCATTGGGTTACAACCATGAATAAAGAGTTGCAAATTAATAGCCCGTAAATTTAATAAAATTTCTTTGCATCTAAAAATGTTACACCTATCACATTTTGGGTTTCAACTTCAATCCTACGTAGCATTCAGTGCGACGAGTTTTTAGCCGTTATATTAAATTTTCACAATTGTTAAATTTTTTATTTTCAATCTTGACCATTCATTTTCATATCACTTAATGTTACCTACCATTAAAGAAAAATTGCATATTTTCTATGCCACATTTGTATCATTCCTCTAATAAAGATAAAGACGAGACCTGACAGTATTGTTCAGACCTACCGCTATTAGAGAAATAATACAAATGTTGCATGCACAATGTGATGATTGTAGCATTACTATAAAAAAGTCTTGTGTTGTCTCTTCATATTGTTTTCTGGCGTCCATATAGTGTTTGTATTGAGGTACTCCATACAGGCATTAGTTTCATTAAAAAGAGACTAGCATGAGGAGTGCAGATTCTTGAGTTGAGATGCTAACTATCCACCATACAGTAAATTAAAGATTAGAGCTGAGAATTCCATCAACTCCCAAACTTTGGGGTCTATTGATTCATCGAAAAACTCATGGAAAACCAACATAACGTCATCTGTTAGTTAGACCGAGCAATTAATGTAAGTGGTGGATTGACTTGGTGGTTAAGGTCTTCCTCTTCAACCCACTGTTAATCGTTTCAATTTTAGCTGTTAAGTCGCCTACCTATAATACAATTTATCTAAGGAAACATATACCTAACCAAAATACGTTAAACTTCAAAAAATGTTTGAAAATATTGTTATACAGAATTGGTAATTTACATTGAAAAGTCGGATAAAAAGATCCATTAAGATGCTATTCAGTCTTCAAGTACATACCTGTTTCTTCTTGCTCCAAAAGCAAATCTCTGTGGATTAAAGTGAAAGGGAAAAAATATGGTGACCACGTATTCACAGGTAAAAATGCTACAACAATGAGAACGTATATAGAAACGACGTTAGGAAGTTTGAGTTTTTATTTATTTATTTATCTATTTTTTATGTTTGTTTACTTAACTGAGAATATCTGGGAGTAGGCTTTTATCCCAGTTAGGAAACGAATGTATGTAGGCTTCATTGACCCATTGGCAGGGACGGATCTTATGTTTGGAACCAGGTACTCAGCGACCTGTGACACCCATGTAGAACACACAAATAAGATTTTAAGGAAGGAAACTACGATATATAACTCAGAAAGAGGGGAGATCGAGAGAAGAAAAAAGTTGATGCAGTTTACGCATACCGCCCTATACATATCTACTTGCATGCATGAACATAGATGTGATTGTGCATGAGTGTGTCTAGTTTGGGAAGATTAGCTCTCAGACCAAACAGGATTTGAAATCCACTGTGTTATATTCCATTGATACGTACCCAGAGACAAAATGCTATTTTTCCCAAGGAGCTTCACTTAATTGAAACCATACAACATACAGATACATCATAACCTTAGTATTTTGTGACCATAAAAAATAAAATTCACTGTGAATGACCACTAAACGTTCAGTCGTAAAACAAAAGCATCATAGAGGACTCACATATCACAAATTCATGAATGATGAATGAAGTCTTACCACTTCAGGTGGTTCTGCCAAAACATTAATGAAAAACTTTGCCTGCGGAGAACAACATGTTCTATTAATCAATCAGAAGTACACAGATGTTTATTAAGAAAAAAGTTCTACGAGACTTATAGTACCTGCTTCGTAGTTGCACCAGACATGAGAAGATCAGTTGTAACCATTCCTGGCTGCAACACCACACATAGGCTTCGGTAAAGGAAAAAACAAGGAAATATTTTCCATAACCAAAGAAACTAAATGGCATCTATCTAGAAGAAAGTCATTGCATTTCTTCATGACAAGCATATTTCATAATGGGATAGTATGCATAGAGGGGAAAGCTTAGGTGATATTGAAATATATACGACACAAACCATAACATATAATTCCATGGTTGAAAGATTCACATAGAAGATTGTGCAAACTAAGCATGATGATATGACTTATGACATCTAATTGACATATTTCAAATTAGTTGATGACTCCGGTTTGACTTTTCTTCTCTTTTCAAAATCAACCATTACAATGAGTAGAGGTGGGAGTGGGTTGGTTTGGTTCGGTTATGGACCAAAACAACACATTGAGCTGCCGATGGAGAAGATTCTGACACCAATGCCGAGCTGCAAAGAGGTTGAACCGGTCATGATCTGTTAACTAAAGAATGTCTGCTGTGACTCCATGAGGCAATGGTGCGACTAGACTTGAAGCAAACAGGTGGCGACAACGAGAAGAGTGGAGAACCTGCGGTGATGCCGATATGGGAGGAGAGAGAGAGAGAGAGAGAGATGATGGTGGTGGCTCAGACGAAAGGAGAAGGAAGAGGAATAGGGTTTGTGGTGTGCAATCACCCACTATGCATAACATGGTAAGAACTTGACTGCCCACTGATAGTCTGATAAAGGTCATACCCAGTGCACAAGGCTCCCGCTTTACGCAGGGTCTGGGAGAGATGAATGTCGGCTAGCCTTACCCCCATTTATGGAGAGGTGAATGTCTGGGAGAGGCTCCCACTGATAGTCTGATATTTAGACAAAAATAATTTTATATAAACTAAGCCTGGTTTGGTTAACCGGTGGTTTAAGTTTTGCAAACTGCTACAAAACCAGTTTACTTCCTGTCTGGTTCAGTTTTCGAACTGAATTTGACAAATTTGATATTAAAACATGCTAGACCAGACCCATCGGTCCGGTTCGGGACAAGCTCTAAAAGTCACCATGTACTTTTGACTTTGTTGCAAATGAACAAAACAAACAAATTCAACCTGATCCAGTTAAAAACTCTCCACTTATGTAATGAACCAAAGAGCATCTAAAATGAAATATTCAATTTTTATTTTGATGGCTAACTGAAGTATTCATCTGATGACATGGAAAACTGAATAGAGGATACAATTAATGCAGCATGTGATATCACAATAGTAGAAACACAAAGTTTTGATCCCGCAAGTTGAACATTTAAGTATTTGGAATATTTTCTGAGAAATAAAACAAAAAAGAGGTCGCACTTGGTGCGATGGCAAGTGCCTTCGCCCATGAGCGGTAGGTCTCGGGTTCGAGACTTGGGAGCAGCCTCTCCATAAATGGGGGTAAGGCTAGCCGACATTCACCTCTCCCAGACCCTGCGTAAAGCGGGAGCCTTGTGCACTGGGTACGACCCGACCTTTTTAGAAATGAAACAAAACAAAACAAAAAATAAAAAAGGAACAGAGAATGGAATTACGAATTACATACCGAGAGGTTATGCACTGCAACATTTTTGACATCCTGCATCTGCAGTTCTGCCTGCGAAAGTGTTAAGAATTACGTATTGTAAATTCAGTTGGGAGCAGATTTGAATAATATAGTGACATCAAGACACCACAATTAAGCTTTGGGGGAGACACTGAGAGTAGTGATCGTAAATATCAGGCTTGACCTTAAGTTTTACCACTCATATTTTGAGGAATTGATTCATGTGTTTGGGATTGTGGATGCATGCCTAAATAGTATTACTCCTTGTTTGCAGAGTCTGTTTGCAGAGGGTCTTATGGATGGTTAGTTTTGAATAAGAAGGCTGCGACTTTGTGTTTTTGTGCACACAATATCAACTTAGAAGACGTTTGGTATCCTTCCTGGCTTCTTCTCATGTCATTACAGATTCTTTTAAGAAACAAAAAACAAAAAAAAAAAATCAAAAAAATTTGAAGCGGTACAACATGGAGACCCTGGGATTCACCAAACTAATGAGCAACTAAACCAAAACCATCGAAAACAAAACAAATGACAACTAATTTATAACAGCAGCCCAATTTGGTATAA